TTAATGGAGATAAATCACATTACTCCAGAAAATATTTTTAAAAAATCCAACTAAGATAAAAGCTGAATGTGTAAAAAACGAAACCAACACAATACAACGACCTATGTCCCAAACACTATGTGCAGAATATACCCTGAGCAAAAGCCACAGCACCAGAAAACCTTGATCTTGAATGAAATTCCAGGTAGTACAGTTCTTAAATGTCTGGTGAATAGAAAAGGCGAAGGCCCATTATATTGCTGTGATGTCTAACAGTGAGAAAAATAATGAATAGTCCCGTAGCACCTGATAGTATGGCTACACTACAGAGTTTTGTCGGAAAAGCAGCTGTTTTTCCGACAAAACTTGAGAAATGTCCACACTACAATTGCATTCTTCCACAAGAAAATTGAAAGAACAGAGGTGGTTTTTCCGACATTGGTAATCCTCTTTCTATGAGGAAGAAGCCTTTTTGAGAAAGAGCTCTTTCAGAAAAAGGCATGTTTGGATGGGGAAGAAGGAGTTCTTTCGGAAGAAGAGGAAAGAAGAAAAAGCACAGGTGCCCTGGTGGCCATTCCATCCTCAGCTTACGTGCGAGAGAGCGTCCATTCGGTCTGGATCTCTTTCGAAAAAACAGATCGCTTTTTCAATGCACTTTTGCAGTATGGATGCTCTCTTTTGGAAAAAGTTTTTTTGGAAGATCTCTTCTGAAAAAAGCTTCTTCTCAAAGAAGCCTGAAGTCTAAACGTAGTCTTCACTTGGTAGCTGAAATGGCATAGAATAGGGAGCATGGGCTATTCTTGTGTGAATCAGGAAGGGGTCTAAAGCAACAAGTAGGAAACTGATCATTACCTGAGCTACCAGACCTGGAGATTAAACTGGTAGCTGAGGCTTCTTAGGCTGCTTGAAGGCACAAATGAGAGTGTGTAGCTCTAAGTCTAACAGCTCAGTTAGTCTTCAAGTGTTATCTTTTTTTCTTTTTACCCAGGGAAGGGATTTAACTCCTTCCTTTTTCACACTAGGATGGGCACATACAATGCAGTACAGATGGATTCTGGAGGATCCCAGTGGAACCAACTGGATAGTCAGACTTCACAGTGTGAACCCAACAGACTTACTCCACATCCAGCCTTGTTTAAGAGAAGAATTAGGCTCTTAATGTCAATTGGACAATTGCTTAATTTTAATTAATTATATCAACAGTTGTGTAATTATGTAAAAGTTATCACCGGGAAGAGCTGCTATTCTCAGGTAAGCAGCAACAATAACTATATTCATTATTATTTAACAAAACCTGAGGTAAAACAAACACAATCAAACAATATTTAAACTTAAAGGTTTTGAATAGTCTATAAACCTTTACCCACAAAATGACTTGCATGGCTAAAATCCATGTCCAGTAAGCTGAACATTTATCTTGTACACTACACGCAAAAAAAGACCTTTGCAATATAATGAAAATGTAGACACAGCCAGCAGATGGCACCTTAGTCCTCTAGAATAGCCCATTCTCTTCAGCTCTCATTACAACGGGCATTAGAACTGAACTAGTGTAATATTATCTTTTCTTTGCTGTCATTCCTGCCAAAATACTTAGTTTAATTCCCATGTGTTTTGCTTCCCACTATTTGCATAGACGAAAAAAAAAACCTTTCTGCTTTTGATCCATGTAGCAACAGACAATTCCAAACTATTAAATCAAGCATAATCTTACAGTAGCTACTTTCTGTATTTGGTCTTCAATTTTCTTTTTAAATAAGCATAACTTAGCTGACTGGAAATACGATTCACAGGAGATGGACCTACACTGTGGAATTCAATGTATAGTCAAAGGCCTCATCATATTCAGAGCAAAATATAAACTCGACTCTTTAACATAGCTTTTGCTAAACAGGTTCTTTTTTGCCTATGTCTCTTCCTTCTCTCTCATACTACAAAACAAAACAAAGCAGAACATAACACGCAATTCCTTCCTCTTCCTAATCAAAGTATTTCTCATATAGGATGAAATGGAAAAGTGTGTGAAAGTTTGTCCCTGTTAATTTTATTGTTAAAGTACTAGTTGGGAGGTGCTCAGATACGTTCATGATATAGGATACCTATATTTATTATATCTTTATCTATCTAAATATTGATATAGATACAAATATAGATATATTATTATAGATCCCATGCTGGTGAGTGAGCATATGGAAATTCAGCTATTAAATATTGTGCTGCTTTTTAGAGGAAAGGAAATGGTTTTAAATCTTCTCAGTATTAACAAAGGAAAACAATTATAAAATGAGACATTTATTACTGTAATTATAGTAAATTCCTGGCTGCTACATAGAAGGAATAACTGTTTAGCAATAAGAATCAGTAATTTATGAAAAATTTACACCTTCTCAGCCAAATTTTCCCTTGTGTGTGTGCAAAAGTGCACACAAATGAAATAAAAGCAGAACATAATATGCCCGCATTCAATATTATAAATTACAGAAATGGAGATTGTGCAGTTGAAGAAAATCTTTAGGTTTGTACAACACCTTTCTAGTTCAAAGCAATACACAGGCCTCCGAGACATAGCTGCTTATGAGTGCTTACACAGATGAAAATCAGGACACTTACTTAACTGTCTAAATCTAGATTTTATAGTCTAACTTTCAATTTAATCTTGGTCTTCAGGTCCAGTGGCAAGTGACACCTCCATGGCAGACTTATTCAGCGTAACCAGACTGGAGGCCCTGTCTTCCCATCACTGTGGTTCTCTGTCTCCTTGATGATGCTGAGCCAGGACTGGAACTCGCGCAGCTATTCTCTACTCTCATGACTTCCCAAAGGGTCAGCCAAGAGAAGAGTCAGCCCAGAGTAGAGAAAAAGTGGCCCCAGCATAAATGCTGATTAGTTCTAGTTTGTTTCTGAAAACGTTCTGCACGCATATGACGATGTACAATTTGAACATCTCTGGTCTGGCAAGATTTTAGTTAGCCTTTGTTTCTGAAAACGTTCTGCACACATATGACGATGTACAATTTGAACATATCTGGTCTGGCAAGATTTTAGTTAGCCGGATATCCACTTATCATGGTCCCATGGAGTTTGTTTACAGTCGACAGTTCTGGGTCTCCATGTTCTGTGCTGTTATTTAGTTCCCTACATACCTTCTAAGAGCCCAGAAAGCAGTGGAAAGGTTGGTAATTCTGCTAGAAAATATTAACCTTTTGTGGTTTGGTAAATGTTCTGTTTTGGCACCAGTCATGTTCTGAGGGTACTGGACTAGAGAGGTTCAACCTGTAGCAATTTTGATAGTTTGTGAACTTGCATTGACGGAGTTGGCCGGTGGGCATGCTATCCATACTTCTCCAAGGTTGAAAGAACCTTTATTTTTCTGTGCTCCATTTGCATACTGATATAGTATCCACTGGTTTTGCTGCAGGGTGAATGAAAGTGTGCTTCTGGGTCTGAAAATACGCTCCAGTCCCACAAAACTTCACAGTCAAAATTTGGCCCTCTGAAAATATTTTTTTTCTGCTCCTCTGATAACGTTGTTCTTAGTATGCTCTCATTAAGAGTAATGTTTGAAAGTACTGTAGTACACATGATACATTCTATTGGAACAATTATATAAACTATGGATTATATTTATTTCATTATAACTTATGCTATTTACAAAATTCCAAGCATTATCACCAGGTTACTCATTACACAGAAATGTGATGACTTTCATACCTTCAATTGGTATTACAGAAGAGATTCAATCCCCTTTAATTTAAAGTAACACCGATAACTTTTATTTCTGTTTTCTACAATCTTCTTAACAATATCCTATTCATGGTATGTTTGTACAGGCAGTCCCCGGGTTATGTACAAGATAGGGACTGTAGTTTTGTTCTTAAGTTGAATTTGTATGTAAGTCGGAACTGGTACATATTGTAGGGGAAACTCTAGCCAAACATTTCTCCAGAGCTCAGTTTTATTCTCCCACACCTCACTTCCCTCAGTCCTTTATTTTCAAGCTGAGGTGTCTGCTGAGAAAAGCCGCTCCGCGTCTCCCTGGTCTGCTGGGGGGGGGGCG